TTTAAAAATACGTTCAGTTCTAAACTATTCAAAACGATATGCAGAAAAGAATCACAAGACTAAAACTCATAACTGATCATTCAAATGAGAATAAGACATCATGCACAAACATAAACACTGTTATCCATACGGTGAATTCGCAACTTCAGACTCCAAAGACACGGTCAAGTAACGCGCGAAATCTGTCAACCAAAAATATCAAAAAATGAGAAAAAATGGTTAAACCAACATCAACAAGTTACGACTAGTAGAAGGAAAAAAAAAAAAAAAAAAAAAACCAGCTCTAGTGTATAAAATTGGACCTGAAATCGTCAGAGGCTGAGCATGCAAGATGGAACAGGAGGGGAGAATCGGTACGAGTACGGGGTCGGGAATGGGTGCTGACGTTTCGAGTTTTGGTAAAAGCCGGGTGGTTTTGATGAGGGAGATATTTACCAGTTACAGAATGCGGTTAAAGTGATGGGGTTTGGGACGGTGCGAGAAATGGAGGGAAAGAGAACCAGATTAAAAAGGAGAACGATCGGCGATAAACGGTGGTGGGCGATAGAGGTAAGTAGATTTATTGGGTGGAGAAAACCGCAGCACCCCGGAAGTGGCGGCGGCTGTCGGCGAGAGTTTGGGGTTGCAGGGGGAGTCTAGGGTTTTGTGAAATGTGGGTAAATGAGGATCGGAATGGTTTGATCGGGAGAAGAAGAGAGGGAATTCGGAGAAGAGAGTGGGTTGGTGAAGCAGAGATGAATGAGCAGAGAGGTTTGGGAAGACAATGTGAGATGAGGTTTTCGGGTCCGCCGAGTCTTGCTAGGGAGGAGAATAAGAAGGGGATTTGACGAGTCGAAGGAATATATAAGGGGAGAGATAGGGTTGGCGGAGCGGGAGGAGACCGTGGTCGGCCACGCGGCTGAGGCTCTGCAAATCTTCCAAACATGCAAGCGAAAACCCGTATTTATATTTTTATATTTGTTTCAATATATACATATGTACATATATTAATATATATATTTTTTTTAATTAAAAAAATTTACTTGAGCATATTTTGGGGTGGGCTTTTTCTTTTATTATTTATTAATCCAGTCTCTGACTGGGCCCTCAAGTCAAGCTTTGTATTTATTGCATAAAATATATTTATTACATATATATATATATATATACTTATGTTTTTTAAAATATTAGATTTTAAGTGTATACGAGGTTTGTTAGGTTAATAGAGATTAATAAATAACAAAATTAATTATGAAAATCTAACAAGAGGATTAAGCTAAGCAAATAAACGAAAGTGGAGGATTTTGTTAAATTTGTTTAGAAATGCTATGAAAAATGTTATCGAACGACGAAAGGAGTCAGAGATTAAATTTTTTATTATTTTAATAATTTGTTTGCTATTTTAATTATAAATTTTGTTGAATTAATTAAGAAATAAAAATTATAAATAAATAGTTAATTTTTTATTTTAATTTTGATAAATTAACGGAGCAATAAATTCAATAAAATCTTGCTGAATTAAAACATGATATGAGAATGATAAATGCGTGTGATTTGTCATAAATAAAATCATAAAAAATCTAATTCAGAAAAAGTTCACTTTATACAATTAAATATGAAACCGTAACGAGTTTTAATATGAAAACATTCTCTCTCATGTAAGAAGTTTGGACTCCTTGGCTTCTCTTTGACGGCTCAAATACTGGCAAAGCAAAACTTTGAGCTTGAGCAGTTGAGAAAACCTGTTCTAGAACCTTTTGCTCGATTTAATGCAGGTATTTAATAAGTTCTCTGGGTATGTTGGTTCATTTACTAAAAGTTATGATATTTTATTTTCAATAAAATAATCATGTCATTAAACATGTAACATAATTATAATATACCTTTTAGATGTGTCAATTATGCAATAATTTTGTTAATCAACTCATTTTACGTTTAACGGGATTTTGGCTGAAGTCAAGAAAAGTTACATCGTGTATATTTATTTATTTATTTTCCTATAGTGACATTTTTTCAACATATCTGTTTATAAAATTTTTTTATAAGTGAAATCTATATCATGTCATTTAGAATGATAATATCTATTTGAATTTCAGTTTGATATGGTAAAAAATATTAGTGTTGAATACTAACTAATCGTCTATTATTTTATTTTCTAAAAATTATTTAATGATGTTTCAGTACTTGAATCAATATTTTTTCCTCAATTATAAAGAAAAAAAAAATTCTCTATCATACCAACTCCATCATATTTATCTCTTTAATAATATAAGTAACGAAATGATTTAATTTCATATTACTATCTATCAGTTTAGATGATTTCGAATTTTGTATATTTTATGTGAGGAATAAATGTAAAAAAATATGTAATGGCCTGGTGACATGCACCGTAACCCTATCGACAATGAAACTTATCGACAATTAGACTTCTTTAAACGACAACATATTTACAACATTTAGTTACTTTTTGTTTGAATTTTGTTACAATATTTTATAAAATTTCAACCTGCAAATTGTATAAATTGCAATGTAGTTTCTAAATCACATTGGTTTTAATTTCGGAACGAATATTGATGTAAATTTTTAATGTCAGAAAAGCGATTTTAATATAAAATTTTATATATTTCTATATTTTCAAGTTTACATACTTATGTTGTGAAAACAACGAATTTTATATTTATGTTTACAGTCATTTAAGTTGTAATTTAAATTGTCTTCCTCGGCCTTTTCAGTTGCATCTTCCATTTATCTCACCTGAGATTCAGTTAAGACCTGAAGAAGTTCCAAAGGCATGGCAACGGGATCAAGCTCTACGCAGCCACTAGGGGCATTATGAGTCTTCAACCATCAAGTTGTTTTAGAATTGTCTGTTTTCCCTTCATCATCAACATATCACGAGTCTTCTGTTGCGCCCTACCAGTTCTCCGATTAAGGGAGTTTGCTTTTCCTGCCTCAGGAACCTCCTTCCTAGATCCAGGTAGACCAGCTATGGTTGGAATCCGATTAGCCATCCCCGCTGCAGTACTATCCTTCCTGCGTTCATCTACCATTCTTTTCTTCATAGTCTTATCACCTATCGCTGATCCAATGGATAAACCAGAACCTAATTTCTCATAAGCATGACCACCTTTCATCTTAAAAATACCCTCTCTCATATCAGAAGTTAGAACTCCTTGATTTCTCTCTAATTGTCCATGTACTGGCAAAACAAAATCTTGAGCTTGAGCCGTTGAGAAAACCTGTTCTCGAGCATTTCTAAATGATGCATTTAATAAATTCACACTGGTGGCAAGCAGATTAGCCATCCCTGCTGCAGTATCATTCTTCCCATGTTCATCAACCCATCTTTTCTTCTTAGACTTGTCGCCTCTTGCTGACCCAATGGATAAACCAGAACCTGGTTTCTCATAAGCATGACGAGCTTTAATCTGAAAAGCATCCCCTTTCATATCAGAAGTTAGGACTCCTTGGCTTCCCTCTGACGGTCCAAATACTGGCAAAACAAAACTTTGAGTTTGAGCAGTTGAAAAAACCTGTTCTGGAGCATTTCTATAAGTGCCCGATTTAGTGCAAGTATTTAATAAGTTCACACCGGTGGCACCCAGATTACCCGTCCCTGCTACAGTAATATTCTTCCCATCTTCATCATCAATACATCATGAGTCTTTTGTTACACCCTAGCTATTTTACTATTAAGGTAGTTTGTTTTTCCTACCTCAAGAACCTCCTTCCTAGATCCAAGTAGATCAACTATGGTTGGAATCCGATTAGCCATCCTTACTACAATACTATCATTTCTATGTTCGTATATCAATCTTGATAAATTAATTAAAAAACTGAAATCCTACTGCATTAAAATATGATATAAAAATAATAAATGTATGTAATTTGTCATAAATAAAATCATAAAAAAATCAATCTAAAAAAATTGCACTTTATACAATTATATCTTAAAACTATGACGAGCTTTAATTTGAAAAACATTCTCTCTCATATAAGAAGTAAGAATCCATTGGCTTCTCTTTAACGGTCCAAATACTGGCAAAATAAAATTTTGAATTTGTGTAGCTGAGAAAACCTATTTTGGAATATTTCTATCAGTGTTCGATTTAATGCAAGTATTTAATAAATTTTTTGGGTATGTTGGTTCCTGTACCAAAGGTTATGATGTTTTTTTTTTTCAATAAAATAATCATATAATTTAACATGTAATATAATCATAATATAATTTTTAGATGTATTAATTATGCAATAATTTTTTTAATCAACTCATTTTATGTTTAACTGAATTTTGACTGAAATTAAGAGAATCTACATCATGTATATTTATTTATTTTTCTAAAATAATATTTTTTCAACACATCTGTTTATAAAAAAATTAATGATTAAGTAAAATTTATTTCATGTCTTTTAAAAGAAAAATATATATTTGCATTTCATTTTAACTCAGGCAAAAACTAATAGAAGTGAAAACTAATTAATCAGCTATTATTTTATTTTTTTTAAATTATTTAATAATATTTTGATATTTAAATCAATATTTTTACTTCAATTGTAAAGAAAAAATGTTTTTCATTAATTTTTTTTTTTCTTTCATACAAACTATATCCATTTGTTGCTATATATTTAATTCTCCTTAATCTTATAAAAATAATTATTTAATTTTATATTACTATTTATCAATTTATAAGACTTAAAATTGTGTAATTTTTATGTAAGAAATAAATACAAGAAAAATGTAATAGGTCTGGAGACGTCCCTAGACCACAATACAATTATAACATTTTGTTAATTTTGTGTAAATTTTGTTACATCATTTAATAAAATTCAACTTGTATACATTACAATGTAATTTGTAATTTCTAAGTCACCTTGATATTATTTTAGACATGAATTTTGATAATAAATTTTTGTGTCTGGAAATGTGGTCTCAATATAAAATTTTATGCATTTCAATATTTTCTAAATTTACATATTTACATTGTGAATGTTAATAATTTTATACTTACTGTTATTTAAAATGTAGTTTTGGTTGTCACGCATATAATATATATATATATATATATATGTATATGATCTGGGTTCAGGGCAAAAGATAAGTAGAACGGCCCTATAAACAAATACCAAAAACCATACAAACTCCTTACTGTCACTTCAAAATGAATAATCCTTCAGATCTGCCTTGGGGTCATAAATCTCCATGTCAGCCAAGCATTCCTCTGCTGTAAGTGGTGGGAGTTCCTTGGTCTTACGCTTCAAGTTGTGCTTGTGCCATTCGCTCTTACAATGCTCTCTGTACTGCTTGGAATCCCCAACATAAGCATTACATGTGCTGCACTTATTTTGCTTTACATCCTCTTCAGATTTCCCATTCTTCATTTTCTCACTTGATACAAGCCCGGAATCGATAGGTTCACTTCTTCCATGGGAGAGAGTCAGGCTCTGCGTTTTCTCAGTTAAATCAGGCACAGAATTAGCAGATTCTGCAGGCACCCGTAATGGCGCTTCTTCATAATCATCATAGTGATCCACGCTGGTGTCCCCCTCTGCATGCACTGCTACTGCAAGAATTTCCAATCTGCCCTGCAGATTCCTTACAAAGGCATCACAATCCCGATAAAAACCTGGCTCCATTTCACATATAACATATGGCTGAGTTGCAGATTCATCTTTTGACACAATGCTAGCATTCCAAACATTTAGCTTCTCCAACAGAGAAGAGTAATTTTGCTGAGGAACAGTGAGACGGAGTCTCATTGGAGATCGATTAATTGGGTAGTGCTTTTGAAGCTCACGGATTACTTCAAGTGCCTGCTTCTTTGAACTGCTATGTGGATCAACAGCAAAATGAATGTCGTGCATCAATCGTTCGATCATGCTAATAGTGTAAGGACGTTTAGTTTCAGCATTGATGGTCTTCTGCATGACAATTGTAGCAATATCCCGAAATTGACTTGATAACTGAGATTCTCTCTCCTTACCAGCAACTTGAAGCTCACCCTTCTCCAAAATCTCCAAACATATTTTTTCCTGATCATCGGTCCCAAAGGCTGCAACAAGCTCTTTTGTCTTAGCAAGAATTCCTTTCGAAACATTTGAATACACAGTATGTGATTGCAACACTTCATCCAGATCCTTTTCTACACCAAAGCGCCAAGAGAGGACCTTGTTCTTGTAGCAGGCAACCTCAAAGCGGTTGCCATGCTTCTTTAGACGAACCACTGCAACATTTGTTAGCCGCTTTTGCCCTATTGGCTGCACAAGTGTTTTTGACATTTCCCCCTCCTCTTTGCTTTTTCTTTTGCCTCCCTAGTTTATGCTCCACTTCCTTCTACCTAATTGCATATGCTCCTGCTTTGTTTCGTTGTTGGGTGCACTTTCTACTGTGAATAAGACAAATGCAATACCACATACAAAACTTAAAACCATTTTATTTGCCAAACCAAACAACAATTTGTTAAAAGATAAAGATAGAAACTGATTAATGCTTCAAATTGATCTCATTTATACGAAGACGTAAGCTTTCGTTCATGGGTCAATATATCAATCAGACATCCTAAAATCGGAAATCAACTAAGCATTTCTTACAATAACAGGTAGCAGACCTACTGATTAAGTCAATGATAAGCGGAGTGCTAAAAGTTCCATAGAGATGTCAATTTTGCAAGCTAGTCAAATACCCATACACTTTCCCCAAATCAATCCCACTTCTAATAGTTAATTACAGCAACATCATTACTCTCTCAATGCAACTTCTTTTTAAAAGTTCCAAACAAGCAAACGTACCTAAAACCAGGAACAACCATAAACATCTATCAATTGCTTGACACACCTATAAAGTATAAACAACTCATGCAAGGTAATCTAAAGTTCTCGCAAATAGATATTCCATCTATGAACTTCCTTGACCCGTTGCCAATCCCGAGTAGAAATTAACCCGTAGACACGAGGGCATAAATCCACCACTAGCATTAAACAATAGGTAATTGTTAATCCAGAAATAACATATCATACAGATCCTGTATCACCCCAAAGGAAAAAAGATGCAGTCATTTTATCAAACACCTGGTGCATCGAAGTCATCAAAGATAAAAAACAACTTGATTGATGCGCGGCCAATGGTTCGGTCAATTTCATCTTTAAAATATCAACATCATAAACTAATTCCACGATGGAAAGGTAAAAAAAAAAAGTAACTAGGAGAGATTAAAAAAGAATATGAAAGCAGGATTGAACCAAAAAAATCCATTCAACGACAAGAACTGATCGAATCATAATCCAATAAGAAAAAGAAACTTGAAGAATTGATTCGTCTGACATCAGTGTGAGTATAACATAGAATTTGAAACCCAGAGAATACAAGTCTCGTAATCAGAATAAGAATGAAAGAGAAAATAATAGAGGTTTATCGCAAGTGAGAAAGAATCTTTACCGGTAAGTTTAGGAGATGGAATGAAGAGGAAGAAGAGATGGCTCCGGCGGCTTGGGAGCAGTGAGGGGGAAAGAAGGGGAAACTTTAGAGAGCGATCTGCAGGGTCCTTCAGAGGATAGTGAAAGGAAGGAAAATATGAAGAAGCAAGAGGGAAGAAATAGCCGGTGTTGGACACTGCAATAGTGTTTTTGTATCGTAGGAAGGAGATCTGAATTAGAAATGGAAGAGCATAGTTCTGGTTGTAGTGTGCAAATTAGGGTTTACATGAGGAAGATGGGGTGGACAAATAGGAGGGCTTAGATGAACGGGCTCCATAAAATGGGTTTATAAATAATACCACGCGTCTAATGTTGGATGATCTTTTTCTTTTTTTTTCTTTTTTTTTTTTATAAAACTAATTTACAAAAATATATTAATCCACATATATTACTATAGTTTTAAAATAACATATTATATAATTAATATATTAGTTAAAATTTTTATTTTATTTAAAATTTTTGACTGAAGATATAAAATTTACCATTACTTAAATATATTATAAACTAATAATATTTAATTTAATTTTTATTAATATTTTGTAATAATACGAGTTAATGGAAAAACTTATTCTTGCTTATGTATATAATTACAGAGCGATAAAAATTTATATGTCAATATCAAAATCGAATAACATAAAGAGACATAAACCAAGAAATATGAACTTATTAGTAACATATAGTTTAAAATTTTAAAACTAAACAATTAGGAAACTTTGTAATGTTGAATTGAAAGATTAAGGTATTACATAAACCATTGTTCTTCTGTCTTATTACTTTGTAGATGGAAAACAAAAACTGAAATTGGGAAATTATACAAAAGAAAGAATCTAATCCATGAAATCAAGACTTGGAGCGTACCACCCTAACTGGTCAACAATCTTCTTCATCCTCTCCTCCTGTCCCTTAGAATCTCCTAAAGCTGTAGTGAAGGGATATACATAAGTCACTTTGGATGCCATACACCTATAAGATACAACATCCCCTTTCACCAAAAACTCCATTATATCCCTCCCAAACCCACCATCAACTTCTGCTTCTAAATATTTCCCTGCACACACACACACATGTATATAAAATCAGTATTTGTTAGTTGAAGAACACGAGTCTCAGTTTCGGTTTAAATTACCATATGGAGTATCTTCAACAACTTTAATCTTGGCATTTTTCTGGGTCTTGAGAATTGCTTCTCGCAATTTCTGCACCACACCCACCACTATACATAATAAATACAAGAAACAAGGAGTAGAATTAAATAATATGAATCAAAACCTGAATGGTGTCATCTGTAGCATTCTCAGGAATCCTCCATGGAAATGCAAAAGAGGAGGATTTGGGATTCGTGGAGATACAACTCGGATTCACTGATGGGCATGGCCTAATTTTCCTACGAAGAAGAAACCAAATCATCAGAAAGAAAGTTATTGATAGATGGTGGGGGTAAGAAGATGGAGTAAGCACTGACCCGTCCTCAAGACCGAGCTGCAAGAACTTGGACTGAGCAAATGGTGTGGTTGGGGGAAGAGGGGGAGATTGAGAGCTCAGAGGGGGGATTGCTAAGGAAGGTAATGGAGAGTTGAGGGCGATTGTCAGAGCTACAGAGAGAAGATTGGAGAAGAGAATGGGTTGGAGGGGAAGATGAGAGGCTGTAGTGGTTGAGGGTTTACAGGGTGAAGGATGTGGAGGAGGAGGAAGAAGATGACCAATCAAATTCATATTTGTTGCCTGCGTCTGTGCTATCCCTTTACTTTTGGTTTAGTAAGGTTTAGAACACCACTTTTATTTTTTTTAAACTTTCTCCCCGGAGCACAACAAGTCGATATGTCCGAGTGGTTAAGGAGACAGACTTGAAATCTGTTGGGCTACGCCCGCGCAGGTTCGAACCCTGCTGTCGACGATTTTTTATTTATTTTTCGTTCCTCCTCCAATTTTTGAGAATTGCGCTTATCAGGATTTAGGGTTTTGCTTCTACTTTTCTGGATTCGATTTTTTAGGTTTTTTTTTTTTTTTTGTTGATTGACAGTTTTTTAGATTGTTAAATCTGCGTTGAAGCTAAGAAGGAAAGGAGAGATTGATCGGGAAATCGAGTGTTGCAGTAACTGGAAAATGATGGAAGAGAAGCCTATCGCGAACTCAAAGACGACGCAGGAGCTAGCAATGGAAGGGCAGAAGTATCTAGAAGAGACGATAGAAGCAGCGTTTCAGATCCTCTCTTCCATGAACGACGAGCTCTGTAATCCTGCTTTGTGGACCACCACAGCTTCCTCCAATGCTACTGGACCCAACGTCGCAATGACTAATGGACCTCCTTTGGTTTCCTCCAATGGCGATATCTCGTCTTCCGATGGAGCCTCTCATCACTTAGATATGGGTGGCGGCGGAGGCGGAGGCAGCGGCAATAGCGCCCTCGATGAAGCTCGCCTTCGCTACAAGAACTCCGTCGCTTCTCTCCGTGCTGTTCTTGCTGCTATTCCCAATTCTCAAAAGGTAATACCAGTATTACAAATTCGCTTTATTTGAGCTGTCATTTGTTCTCGAATAGGTTAATTGAATTCTTCTATATTCTTACTTTTTGAGTTCTTAGACTTCGATGAAACATGATATAGAGGCCTTCGTGTATCAAAAAGTTTGGGATTGGAGAGTCAATCTTAAGAGAAGGTACATTGGCATACTGAGTATTCACGCTAGTAGTGGAAATAGGGATTGGTAATAGAGAATTGAACTTCTCTTAGACTGTTTGCCAGTGATATGAGCAACTTTAGGCTGATTTTCATCCGAGAATCAAGAATTAAATCATTTGATATCCTCATTGTAGGATAGAGAACATACTATGGTAGCTGTGTTGGGTAGGATTTTTGGTTTGTGAGCAAAAGAAATTCACTCGTCAGATTGAACAGAATCTTATTTGAACAGCAGAAAATCACGAGGGTAGCCCATTAGAGTTGAAATGACTAAATTATTAATGATATTGACATTATAAATGTAGGAAAAATTGTTAACTAGAACAGTTTATGGGTGGATAAAATGGGAATGTAGATTTGTTTAAATATTTGCATCTGTTCATATACCTGAATGTTTCATTGCCCAAGGCCATTTTTCCATGAAAGAGTTCTCATTCTTTTTCCTAAGGAGAAAAGCTGCTGAGATGATATTTCAGAGTAGCACAAAACTCTTTAACATGATTATTGCCCCTCCAAAGGTAGAATTCGTTTCCTTGTCTTGGGTGTTGTGGCTGGCCGCCTGTCTTCCATTATATGAATAATATATAGTTGCATCTTCTGTGTGTTCTCGTTTTATTATGATTTAGCTTCTATGTGGCATCTTGCCTTGTTCATCGGTGCAATATTTGTAAAGCATTCTTCTTATACGATCCTATCCTATCCTATCCTATTCCACTTTTCTTGTCAACCAGAGAGTAGTTAGCACTCTGCAATTCAACTCTGAGTTTCTTTCATCTGTGTAGGCAAAAGCATTTGATATGAGTTCAACTACAGGTGCTCCAGGATTGCCACCAGATCAGGCAGAAATAGAAAAATTGGAGGCCAGGGCCTCTAATCTCAGAACGGTATGGTTTCTCATTTATGATCATCCACACACTTGGAGTTTGCTTATAATGACTAGGAATGCTAAGTGTAATATCCATTTTTTGAGTCAGTGAGTCCAATGAGGTGAAGCATATCTTTTAGCAATTTATCTTTTATTTGGGCAATGGGGATAGCTAAAGGAGCAATCTAAGTGATGAAGAGTTACATCTTGTCGGCCCTTTTGTCTAATTGAAGTACTTTTATTAGAATTTAGACTGATGTGATTTTTCTTTTCAACGTAGGAGCTTGCAAACAAGAACACACACGTCAAACTTCTTATAGATCAGCTACGAGATCTCATGACAGACATATCAACGTGGCAAAGTCCCTATTCTGTGTAAATTTTGGATTGGTCATCTTCATTGTGAGAAGCTACTTCAGGATAGTTGTGATCTGATGTCAGACACATTCATTCATTTCATTGTATTTGTTAGAATCAAATTTGAAGTGGGTGATTAGGTCTCCTGGGGGTAAAGAACTTCATTGCTTTTGTAAAACCCCAATTGAAATTGCAGCAGGAAGGGTTTGTTGTATCCAGACAAATGTAGCATTGGTCGACAAATGTTTGAAATACAGAATTGGGTTCTGGATAGCTTAAAGCTGAATTCATTTTTTGGTAACAGTTGTAGTAGAATTCTTCATTTGATTGATAGACAACATGAACCTGTTAGTTCATAACTATCAAATTTTACAGACACTATCAATGATAGGCCATATTTTTAGCAGGAATGTAAAGAAGAAAAAGGTATTTAGGTATACAATGCTCTCCTTTGAAGAGCAGTTTTACTGGTTCAGTTGCTCCCATGAACTTTACAATATTTGGCCAGTTTCGGAAATTACTGCTTCAAAAGGCAGAATGGAAATACTCTCTCACTCAGTTTTTATGCATACATTACTTCAAAATTTTTAATGACAGACATTCAATACATTCTTAAAACCACATAAATACACAAAAATGCAGGTCCACTAGTTGTGAATCGAAGATCTTGTAGTGAGTGATGATCTCATATCTACAATGGCAGATTCATCAGCTCCCAGCTTGATCGCCTCTTTGCTTGCTCTTATAAAACGCGAAGTGGCTCCTCTCACGTAATCATGAGCTTCTCTCACAGTCATCTTCTTCCCCGTCTCATCTGGGAAGCTGCTGAGGAAGTGGTCACCATTAAGAACGGCTGCTAATTGAACAACCTCGCTCTGAAACTCAGATAGCCCATTATCTTCTTTTGCTTCTGTTCTCCTCAAAGGTGTCACCTCTGGCAACGTCTCTGTAACAAATTATAACGAAAAAACACTGACATTTTTTTCTAAACACCCACTAATCCAAAAGAGAAAAAAGAATGAACTGCAACTAACCATTCTGGATGTATTCAATTATTAGGAAGATCTCTGGTAATATTTTCAATGTGAATTTAGTTTTTTCTTTTCATGATGGAACATCCTACATTTGGATTCTCTCATCCCATTTTTCCAAATCACATTCTCAAACTACGTATTCCCTTTGATTTCAGCCAAAACACTTCTTCCTAATAATTTCAAGTAGCCGTGAATTGGACCCAGAGCTCCAAATATCACAAATAATTAGATCTGCAGGCAAGGAAAGGATTACTACCTGGACAATCAGTTCTGGGAGAGGTCAGCTTCCCAACAACCTCCTCAAATGTGCCAGCCCATGCATCTCTGTGAGTCAAGAAATTCGAGGAAAGGTTGAAGATTTTCTTTATTGTTGCCGGAATTGAGGAGTGCTCGAACTCTGAATTCGGTCTAGGTCCTTTTGGACTAGTTATCACTACAAAAATCACCAGGGACAATCAAAAAAAGAAAATGCTGAATAATACACAAAAGCATGCACCAAGGATCTTCTTCTGGTTCATTGAAGTCTGAAAACTAATATCCTTTACCCAAAAAGTCCCTCGTTTCGAAGGTCTATAGTACATTTTATCCATAAATGAAGTATTATAAAGAAGACATATACCAAGAGAATCAACTACCTAAACCAACGTAATCCCAAAAGGAGGTCTGTTTGAAAAATGATATCAGGCAAATGACAAGCGAAATATAATATTATCCCAGAGTTTTTAGGACTTAAGACAGGCTGGTTTAACCAAACACACAAGCAAACAAAGGTGTGATGTTGATAAAAGATTAAGCTTACCGGTGCCTTTCTCAATCCAAGGAGAGACCATAATTGTTGGCACGCGAACACCAAGCCTATCAAACTTGAAGAAGTAAGGCGCAGGGCCAGTGTTTCCATCTGGGTTGGGAACATTGACATAAGGAGTCTTGACATGATCATAGAATCCGCCATGCTCATCATAAGTAATAATTAAAAGGGTCTGATTCCACTGAGGACTAGCTCTCAGTGCCTGATAAACCTCCTTAACAAGCTTTTGTCCATTGGCAACATCATGAGATGGATGATCATCGTTTGCGGGGATTCCCTTAAGATCAAAATACCTTGGCTCGATTACAGTCAAGCTAGGCAACTTCCCATTTCTAGCATCCTTCTTAAACTTCCAATCAAACTCATGAAACTTAAAAATATACTTCAATTTCCTCAAATTTCTGTAGAACAGATAAGTGGGTATGTTTTTGGGAAGTAAATACCAAAGTTAATACCATTCTCATGAAGAGAATCAAAGATTGTTTTTTGTGGGTAGCCTTGTGCCAGCTGCTTCTTGATATGGCTTGTTGAGCCATGGGAAGTAGCAGAGTAGACAAATAGCGTATTGGGTTGGGTCGGGCCGGGTATGGAAGAAAACCATCTATCAAAAACTGCAAATTCTTTTACAAGAGAAGCGTATACCGGCACAGAGCCAGGCTTAAACCCTTTCATGACAGTGTCAGAGAGATTATCAGACATGGAAAGTGCTTGTTCTACAAAACCAGTCATGGAAGGAATAGAACCAGACCCAAATACCTGTTGCGCCACATCTTCAAAGGAATGACCCGGATCCGGGTCCACAAACTCGGCATCATCGGTGAAGCAAATTGTTTGTGTGGTTGAGTTCTTAGTGGATAAAGGGTTGCATTCATCTCCCGTGACTCCATTGATTGAAGGGTTGATAGCCTTTTTCATCCACCCAAGCATGTGGTCGAAGGATCTATTCTCCATTACCAAAACAACAACCGTCTTGATGGGCGACTCCCACTGGTGAGCCGCAAAAGTCAAGTGGGCCGGCTTCCAAACACATGATAGAGTGAGAAAGAGCAAGAAAATGAAGGAAAATGAAGGTGCTCTCATGGTTGTGAGCGATCCTAGGCAAATGGGATATTAGCTCTTCTTGTAATCTAGCAAATAAAAATGATAAGTGTGGAGTAAAGTTGGTCGGGAATCTTATACAATACGAGATTTTTCCAACACCTGGATATACGCACGAGAGAGAAGTGAAACTTCTGGTTATAATGCTGTTTGCTTTGGGAGAAAAAGCGAAAGAAAATAAAAGAAGAATAAAGAGAATACGGAAAATGTCACTGACAAGTTTACCGAGCCGAGTCAAAACATGCCACCTATTCCGCCCACTAACTTTCATTTGTGCGGTCATCGCCGAAGTGATTTGTAGTTCTGACATTTTAAAAAAATAAAATAAATAACTGTTAGATTGTAGTGTGTTATGTATATATTTCTTATAAAAGATTAAAATTTTGGGAGGTGTTGGCTTAATTTGGTTAAAATCGGATGCTACAGATTTCCAATCTTTGGTTTATTTTGAGCTACTAGTAAATATGTATCTAAAATTATTTTTATTACCCTCATCAAACAGATTTAATGTTGTTTTTTAAGGTAGATTTGGTTCTGAATTGTTGCTATTTTTCATTTGTACTTATGATTATTGACTAGTGTTGGATGTTTAGATTTCTTATTTTTGGGAAACACTGATCTAAGACAGCAAATCATAATTTAATTAAAAAATAACATTCAAAAAAATAGTAAATTAAACAATTTAGTATTATAAGATTTTTTTTTTTATTCAGACAATAATTTCTTACATAACCCCAAAAATAAATAAGAATTTAAATATTCAAATTACACATTTTTTTTTTATTTTTAAAAAAAAAAAAGAAAAAAAATGAACCGAAAATCAGGGAGTGGGGCCCAGAGAAGAACACCGACAAAGAAAATGAACTGGAGGATTGTAATGTAGGCTTCGGGATTTTCGTTGCCTGTGGAACTGGACCTTCCATAACATTACACATTTTCTTTTCCTCTCTCTCTCTCTCTATATATACATATACATATATAATTTGTTACTTGAATTTATAAATTATAGTTTTACTTAAAAATTATTATTTATTTGAACCTGGTTTAATTTACTAGAAATTCAAGAAGAAAATGTAATCTACCAATAGTTTTTTTCATTGTATATAAAACCAGATCCAAAAATAATCAATAGATACATAAAGTGCGTATGTACCTACCTGTGATTGGCTTTCATCATCACCTTCAAACTTTTTATTGTGGGCGGCAATAACCAAGCATGAAGGTTGATTGTTTTTTTTTTTATACAAAATGGCAGAAAAATCACCAAACAAGAGATTTCTTTTCCCTTTTTGTTTATTACACCAAAAACATGGGCATTCCCCTTTTTGGTATACAAAATATGCACTTTTAAGCACAACAATATGTGTAGCCTCCTCTGACCAAATCCAGTTTTTTGGCTTCAAATTCCCTCCTGCCTACCAGTCCCAAATCATTTTATAAACAGTCAAGTGCTCATATGGAATTTAGTTACCGGCTCTTCTCAAGTATGCCAACACCCCTAGTCCAGCTACTAGGGCAGCACTGGCTGCAACCGCACTGTACGCGGCGGCCCATGCATCTTTATGATCATAATCCAAACTCTCTGTACGAGAAGCCCTCCTACGGCCCTGCGCCCCTGAATAATCCAAATGCAATCTCAACCCCTGCAACAACAATCATATCCTTCCAATATTAGCAAACCTCCAATTCGCCCACCCACAAAACACATCTTACTCATCACGCTTGGAGACATGGAAAACATTATGACATCGACATGCCCTAGACAAAGCTAATGAAAGAGTAAAATAAAACAAAATATCCAGGAGTCTCCATATTCTAAACTAGCATCCAACATCAATAATCTCCTTCACTCAAGGAAAGACTCATTAAAATAACCATCAAACTATAATTTTAATTACTTCTGGAGGAAGAATAAACAATAACTACAGCTTTAGTTACCTTCCAGCCAACTGATCTTGCATGGTCCACAGCAGCAATAAGATCACTATCTGATGCCAGCACAACTTTGTCATGGTCTTCATCTTCATACTAACAGGTGATTATCAGTTAGAGCCAAATCACCAACAAGGAAAGATAATTAATCAAACTTCTAGAAAGGAGTTTGAATTCAATCTTATGCTAATTAAGAAAATATATATTCTCAGAATCTACTCAATGTACCAGGATTTGAGGCAGTTTATCACGATCAATGTCATCCCCCATCCTCTGAAGGATTGAAGTTGTTAGATCTGTTAAACTGTGAGCATCTGCACTTAAAAGAAAAGAACTTTAATTGGTGGCACGCAGGGGATTGATCTATGGTTTAGACCTGGAAAATTTATCATGTAAGCGGAAAGTCTTGCCCATCGCAAAAATCACCAGATTCTTTCTCAGGACTTGTACCTTAAACTAGAACTTTAGAATCACAAAATCGAAAATAAAATATACAAATACTCAAAAATCAAAGAGGCATCAGGTGTTACAATGAGTAAGGAACATATTCAAACTAAGGATGTTAAGGAGAAAAAGTAGTGAGTCTATAGATGTAAATCTCTCTGAGTTACATGCAAACCAAAAAAACAAAATGACGTCTTATTTGACAAATAGAAGCAGGTTACCACAAGCAAATCTATGCATTCGACCATTCATATCTTGAATTTTGAAAGCAAAGGAGTTTCCCAGCCCAGATGAAGGATAGGGAAGAGATTTCGCTGTCTCTGCTTCAGAAGCCAATTTCAAGGAACCTTCTTCACTGAAAATGTTACTATGTTTAGGTAAGTAAACATGACCAAATTTATAATTAAAAATCATAGTTGAATGAAAGAATGAAACCTCCTATCATCTTCATCATTGGGAGATAAGGCCATGGCAGAATCCCAAAACTTTTGCATCATAGTGTTTGCTGCCTCATTGTTAACTCCAGCGCTGTTCCCTGCCTAATTAGCAGAGATATACAAGTGGACCATATTATTCTCACAAGAAGGTACAAACTCCAGAGTAAAAGAAATATTGCATGATTCGTAAGAAAGAAAACATCCATCTCCTTGCAATATGCCAAGTGTATTCTTTACAATAATAGCTAATGAACATTTCAATTTCACAGACGCTTGCAATCAAACATAAAAAGAAAAAAGAGATGGTCATGAACTGATGGCTGTTGAAATATCTTACAAGAGTCTCTCACATGCAACTTAAGCATTTCAGAAAAAAAAAAAGCCAAGAAAAAAAATCAGGCACAAAGACTAAGGCGGAAGAAACAGTAACAGAAGTATCCTACTCATCATGCTTCTAAAAATGTTGAATCGCATGTCAACTGGACGAAGTCAATCCTAAGAAGACAGGTAGATAGATTACAGTGGTTGAATAAACAAACCACAAAAAGAAACACACAATGACAATAGTATGTTCCAGCATTCAACAGCACATCTAAATGGGAGCAGAGTTTATAACATGATGATTTAAAAAAATCAAATCTTGTCCCCTAAATGCTTCTTGGTGACAACCAACAGAAAAAATCCACTGTGGTGAAAAGAAAAGAAAAAGAGAGAAAAAATCCCATTCAGTAAGAGAAAAACAGAAAGGAGGAGGAAAAAATCTTGTACCCTAATCATTTCTTGATGTATTACTCGGTGCTTTCGCTTTCAATAAGCACGAGCAGCAAGAAAATGAAAGTAGTGAATATCAATGCCTCCAGAATAGCCAGGTACACTTAAACAACAATACAGTCTCTTAAATTCAGGAATAGAATTCACATAGACACACAATGAGTTAGACAACTATTCATCACAGAATGAAAATGGTGTTCCTTCTGTTGGGGCTCCTAAGTATGGAGCGGGAGCGGGAGCGGGAGCGGGAGCGGGAGCGGGAGCGGATGAAGGGGCCAGAGTAGCCACTGATATAACCAGTTTGCACATGTCCTATCAACCAAGAAACCTATCCCAAAGTAATAAAACTTGCACCAACTGAGCGTGATTAACTTGCATTTGTTTGAAAAAAGTAAGCTGACTTACTGTAGCAACAGCTGCGTGAGTAATATGGATTACATCAACAACAGCAACTACATCTCCATCTGCATCGAATATTCATACTCTTCAGAAGCTGAGTCAAGTCATAAATCATAGTTATCTTTATCAGCCCTCTTTGAATAGTATTACCTCTATCTACTACAGGAAGGTGTAAAAACTTCCCGTCATGCATAATATGCAAAGCATCAACAATTGGTGTATCAACTGTCGCACACTCTGGATTAGGAGTCATGACCTAAAAAGAATAAAAAGAATAACACCAAATATCAAGAATGATATATAATTGGCAGAACATATACTCTTCATATTGTAAATTCAGTACAACTGACATCAAAATCTGTCAAAAGAATGGCCCAAGTAGAGCATTTTGCATCTGAATCATAAAAAAATACCTTCTCCACGGTAGTTGAATCAGGAGGTAGACCTTGTGCTATTACCCTCATCAAAATATCCTTTGACCTAATAACATCAAAAGACAAAGATGTAGATTTTAGGTAAATAAATGAAGGTTTTGAAATACAAACTTTGGATGAATTAACAATGAACAAGACATTTTGCTTCAATTCCTTTTCGGGTTAAATATTGACAGGCATCTGTTCAGAACACACTCACGTTAAAATTCCTCGAGGTTTGCCTTCAACAATTACAACAGCAGAGCTGGAGTGAAATTCAAGCATCTTCTTTGTCGCCTCTAACACTGTGTCACTTGATGAAACTGTTAAAACCCTGAAAGATGCCACTCTATTAAAAAAAGGCAACTTACAAAATATCACTGTCAATATAACACTACAAAACTAATGGCTATTGAAACAATATGTAAAAATTCAATAGAAACTATTACCTACTTTGTATTCTCTGGAATAATTGTAGATAGAGAAGGCCTAAACATCCTCTCCCTAAGTGTCTCAATAAAAGAGTTAGAACCTGAAGAATAAGCCAAAAAATAACATGAGATAAAATTTTATATACTTGAGGAAAACCACAAAGTATCAGGACAATGTAAAACAGTAGACTTCAAAGAAGTGCTGGAAGATTTAGAGATTTACTAAAGATGTGACACTCCCTGCCTACCAGAGATGGATGCTCCCCAATTTTTCTCGACGCCTTCGACCGCAGCAGCAATAGCCTTGCCTTTTTCAGCTGCCCTTTCCATACGAGCTATAGCATCATATAGACACTTTGCGATGTCTAGTAGAGCAATAACTTCTCCGTTCTCTACAACTGGCAAATGTCTGAATTTCCCTGTCAACTCCACATAAGTGCCACATTCAGTAGCAAAGCAAGAAACAACATGATACAGTTAAAAGAAAAGATCGTCGATCTGCTTCTCAAATTATTACCAACCTTGTACCATTTTTTGAAGGGCTTCCACAGCAAGTGTGTCAGATAGAACAAATACAGGGTTCCTAGTCATAACTTTAGAAACAGGGGTTTCCTCAAGATTAATCTCACGAGCAATGACTCTAGTCGCTATGTCCTTTATACACAAGCAAGAAAGAATGAATTATATATTCATATGACATTCCTTGAACCCAGATATCACAGTACAAAATATTTGTATGACCGTTCACATTGTTCTGACCTAAAAAACTTGGGAAAAGTGATATCATACCTTATCCGTGAGGATTCCACAGAGTAAAGCATTAGAGTCAGTTAGCAACAAGGCATCAACTCTACGAGCTACCATTCGACGACAAGCCTCATAAATAGTTGTAGTTTCTGGCACTGTAAGGGCTTTTGACAGCCGCAACCTCTTTACAGTGCGTTCTCCAGTCAGTCCTCTGCTCCAGATGCAAGTGATAGCAAACATACTCTTATTACAATTCCAATGGATCAAAGTTACAACAAATATTTACCATAACAGAAAATATGCTAGGAGAAATTTAACTGTGCACTCATTTGTCTGAGTGCTTCCACAGTTCCACATAGTTTCAAGGTCTTGTCTGAAATTGTCATCGAACAATAACATTTGGATATATTAGTGTGTTTCATCAGATTGCTAAAAAAGCAAAAGCTATCATTGAAATGATCTAAAATCCAGAATTTTCCTTGTGTTTGCGTCTCTGCTTTTGCAAAATGGGACAAGATTTCTCCAGACTACTCAAAAGCATAAATATATCTACTGTTATCTATGTTCAGTTCCTTAGAATAAATATATCTATTGCTATAGCATATCTGATGCTATAACGAGCATACTGTTATCTATTTTGTCTCTTGAACAAATATAACCCAGAAAAAATAACTAAGGAACTGAAAATTTCAAGAGAAAATTAGGTAGTGCCACAAATATCCAGGCTTAGCTAGCTTAAATATCCAGTCTCAATCTGGCAAAGCTATTTGAAGGAACAGCTAAAAAAATATTAAAAATCCAAATTTTTTCATGCCACCTCTCGCTATCTTCCAGAACTGATGTCGTCATGAACTGCTTTCTCAGTACAAACTCAACATCATTATGACTTTTTATCTATGATATCCATGCATAGCAAAGAACCATCAAAATTCATTTCTCTGAACTGCCAGAAAAATAAAAGCTTTATCAATGAAGTCAATGTGATCAATTGGTTCTAAATAGGCCATGACTTCTATACTTTAGCTTTCATCCTTGCATTTAGCCAACAATTTACTACGTAACAATGGCAAACCACAATAAGGAACTCCAATAAAAACAAATTGCAAGAATTAAATAAATATTCCATAAAATTCACAACAGAATAGCTTGAATTGGTCTCCACAGTACTTTTTGCTTATGGACAAGTCACTTGTAACAAAATTAAACTTTTTGTTTGAACAAGGGTGAGATAGGAACTAATTGACAATTTTCCTACATCATCTATATAAACTCCATTTCCACATTTCTCTCTGAGAATCTCTCACTACCTATCCAAGGTTCTCTTTAGCACCTATCCAACTCAGAACCTATATCCTGAAAAATTATAAGCTTTTTCTTCTTCTTGTACCTCTTCTGAAATATTCTTGTTCTTGTACCTCAAAGAAAGCAATTCAGCATACGCCCATTGGTGCATCATGAATAAAGAACTCCATGGACATAGATAAAGAATTTTAGTTCTCTAATTATCAACACTCCTAGTAGGCAAAGAAATTCACTCAGCAGCTTAGCACCTACCAAATAACAAACCAACCCATATATAATTATATTCACTCCATTAAAGACCAAAGAATTTCCATAAAGTTGAAGCTAAAGCAATCAAAATGACTTCCATCATCCATATCAGCATGTTTTAGCATATTGAGAACAATCACCATCCAACAAACTCAAGAGCTGTTGAAGAGACGTACAAAGATGATCGAGAGGCTGCAAATGATTTTCTTGCAGATTCAGGACCTCCTCCGCCATTTTCAGATGCTTTCTTCTTGCCCTGTAATGAGGAATTTGACAACGACAGACTTCTCCTCGACGAACCACTTTGACTAGTCATTTCCACTAGCGACCAACACAAGCTCCTACCCCTCTTTTAATCCCTACAAACAAAAGTAGCTTTTTTCTCATAACCACTCAATATAATCCAGAGGAAAATGAGACATATATATATATATATGTATATATGTATATGCATGTGTGTCGGTTTAAAATGAGACGCAGACATATCCGGTTTCTAAAGAGACGCCGAGTTCCATATTGTAACAATTCCTAAAGAATATTTCTATTCTCATATAAATCACCTTTTCTGCAAAAGCGAAGTACCAAATAGCCCGCAATTCAAAATATGATAAAACGAAAAGGTCCTCACCTAAAATCGTTCCCCTCCAACAAAGCCTGTTGATATATCAATCAACGTAAAACTTTAAAAGAAATCAATCGGAATCAACTTTATCGTCCAAGTAAGATCAAGACAAATCAGCAGGCTGACGATGAGGAGAAGAGAGTGGTTGCCTCGAAATCGTGCAGATACGATTGAATTTGAAAGAAAGTCGCCGAAGAGAAGCCTTGGTCGGTGAAATATTGTCGGAGAAATGAATTCTCCGGGCAAATGCACCGACGGGAGAGAGAGAGAGAGAGAGAGAGAGAGGGGCGGAGGAAACCCTAAAAGGTGGGAGGATTGTGGATTTTCCGTTTGATTGGGGAAGAGACCAATACGATTTGAGCACGTCAACGATGTTTAACTGAAATGGCTCCAACTTCACAGGGAATTTTGTGAGGCTTCTATTTTTCTTTTTTATTTTTACCGGCAAGAAGGAAGGTCTGACTTGTGAGTCTGAATTATTATATGATTATTCTTTTTCTTCAACGAAAATCAAATAAACAAAATATTAAAACAAAATGGAACGAATTTTATTTTTAATTTTTTAAAAATATTATATTTTTCCCTTAATTACACAAGCTTAAAATTATATGTATCTCCCTTTATCATTTATTTTAAACATTTTATTGTAAACTAAAAAAAAAAAAAAACTGCATTCATCCAAAATTATTCATTTTATAATTTAATTCTAAACTATTTGTTATAGTCAAAATAATTCTTAATATATAAATACCATCTTCCTCTTATTGTTATATGTAATGATTTTTATTTATCATTTACGTCTCTCTTGTTAAAATTTTTTTTTTTTTTTTTCAAAAAAAGTGTTGCAATTGCTTTTAGAAAATTATTTATTACAATTTGAGCAACTTAAAGTGATCTTTAAAGTTGTTCCAAATTCAGATAGATAAGTTCTAAAGTTTTCCGACTTTTATTTATTGATGCGTATAGAATTACTTTTGACTCTTTCTATAACATCTCTATTTATGAAATCAATATCTCCAAGTCTAGTTTATTCTTTTCTATCAATGTTAATGTTACTAGAAAGGTTGTTTGGGATCTTAGTAATATGAATACTGTTTCGCAAACAACTTGGGGTTCCTCATTCCCATTTTAGGACCACCTATCAAACGTACCAGAGTTTGATTGAGTATATTAATAAAGACTGATTGGTTAAAAAATTTATAATTTTTATAGGTTAGTCAAACTATACTTGTTAAATCAATTTTTTCACTATTCTCTCATATACTAACCATACAATTTTACTTGCCCGTAATATTTTTAAGCATATTAATAAGTATACTTAGGATTTTATTTGGGGTTCCAAACATGGTTATCACAAGATCAATATGTTGAACTGGAATGAGATTTGCTAATCTAAAGAGATTAGAACGTTTGGAGATTAAGAGCATTTCTCTACAAAATAAGGTCTTCTTTATGAAGTTAGGTTGACACCTCATTCTAGCTTGTGGGTCCGAGACCTTGAAGCTATATACTTTCCATTTAGGAACATTACTAATATCGAATATTCCTTTTTATCGTGGCTCTATTACCTATAAACACCCCCCTTATGTATATCTATATCATTAAAATCGATATCAAATATTGGTAATGAAAGATTACTAGGTTTTGGATGGACTATTGGATTGGGGATCGCTCATTGATTCATCTCCTTCATGTCTTTATTTTATAAGATCATTTAGATTGAACAACAACAGAGTATACTTATCTTAATGTGTAGAAGTGATAAATTTTTGTCAGTCTCCTCTCTATTATGATCTACTTTCAGATTGTCCAATAATATTAGGTCTATCTCGAATAAACATTTTCAGGCATATTCTAGTGATAAAAATTTCTCTATTAAGTCAGTATATAAGTTCATATGCTCCCCACCCCCCCAACGCGGATCATAAGCCAAATACTAAAAGGGAAGCATTCTGAAAACTCTCTATCCTTTAAATAATTTGTCATTTCATGTGAGTTATGACATTTAATCAGTTGCTTACAAATATGGAGAGAACGCATATGCACATCATAGAATAAAAGATGCCCTTGATGCCTTACTAACAAGAAAAAAACATTATTCATACCTCTCCAACTATCCTTTGGCAAAACATGTATGAAGTGATTTTATCAATTATAAGTATCCTAACATTTTCTTTTTTCTTCCATTTGACACACGTAGCTTATTCAAAATGTAAAGACAAATATCAGCACCCACGAGATTGTTAGCTAAAAGGTGATCTTTCTTATTACTATATAGCTTATCTAGAAGATAAGGAATGAGGTAATGGGATAAGAATATGAAGCCTACTGTGAGCAGTAAAATCATTCCCATGGCTCTGGAACATCAAACAAATTATCGTATTGCACAGTCAGTCATTAGTTCTTTGCACCCTACAGCTCTCCTTGGTTGGGTTAGAGTGCTCCTTATTTTGGGTGGTTTAAGATCAACACTAACGAATTTGTTATGGGTGATCTTGTGCCATAGTGAAGAATATATAAAAATTATCATGTTTGCTTACAATTATTTGTCATTGCAAATAATTAGATTCTATAATGTTTGAATAATATTTAAAAATAATAATTTTAGGGAAGAAGAATTTAATGAAATTATTAAAATATAATATATGTATCTACAATTGGGTATGATCCATTGGGCCACCAAGTTAGTCTTCCCTTCCATAAATAAGTCCATTGGCAGCCATTAATTAAGGGAGGGGCAGGGAACCCTCCATTGGGTGCAATCATATTACCTTCGACTTATGTATTAACATTAATATATATATATATATTTAAATAATATTTTCTTAAATTAAATATTTATTTTTAAACTTTCTCATATTTTCTTACCTATGTATTAACGAGTAATCAGAGTTTAAATTAATTTAAATGATGATTAAAAGTTCAGTTTAAGTACTAAGTAAATGAAAAAAAGAAGAAGAAGATTATAATAAAATTTATATATTTTATTAATTAAATAATAAGTGTGTATATATATATATATATATTAACGATACGTATATGCAATTTTACTTGGAAGTAATATAAAATTAGCAAAAATTATTAATAAGAAAGTGAGGTTGGATCCCTTTCTTAGAAGAAGAGAAAGAGTGGAGGAGGAGGAAGCCTTTGCGTAAGAATTTCACTTCATTATTATTCTTCAACAAAATATCAAACCATAAAACCTACAGAATACTTTATAAAATTGGGTGGCACTAGTAAATATAATCTTGTTTTTGTATGCTGGGTGAATAATGTTGGACTGGGCACCCATACTGGTGGGAGTATTGCTGTTCATACTGCTCTCACCTGGTCTCCTCTTCCAGTTCCCGGGAAACACCCGTCATGTCGAATTTGGAAGCTTCAAGACTAACGGCAAGACCCTCCTCCTCCACACCCTACTCTTCTTCACCCTCTTCACCGTCCTCATTTTGGCTCTCGGCATCCACATCTATACCGGCTAATCACTTCAGACAAGGCCAAGCCGGCTGCTACCACCTTCTCCAACCGAATTATATATTATAGATAATATTTTTATTGAAATGGTAAATTTAAATTATAAAATATTATTTTGTTATTTATGAATTTTCATTCATGATTTTTTATTTAGTAATTCATTTATTTTATACTATAATATTAATTATTGTGTTGTAAAATATTAAGAGAAAGGCCAGCCAAGTGCCAAATCCAAACTTCTATACTTATCTTATCTCGAGAAGATCTCAGCCGTTAAAAATCAAAACCCGCAAAAAGAAGCAAATCGAACGAAGAACTCTCACGCGTGCCGCACATGCGATTCCGTCACGAGAAGCGTCCATTTCGATGCGCCTGTCTCGTGTCTCATCCGTCTCCTTCTCCTTCTTTACTCCTCCCCCCCAATTCCCAAACCCTAACAAATCTGATCTTCCAAAAAAATCGCCTTCTTCTGTTCCTCTGAGCAAATAAGTTCACAAATGGCGGATTGGGGCCCGGTGGTCATAGCGGTGTTGCTCTTCGTTTTATTGACCCCAGGACTGTTGTTTCAGATTCCTGGCAAGAACAGAGTGGTTGAGTTCGGGAACATGCAGACTAGCGGTGCTTCCATTCTTGTTCACGCAATCATCTACTTCGGCCTCATCACCATCTTCTTAATCGCCATTGGTGTGCACATCTACACTGGCTGATTTTATTATCGATCATTTCTTTACCAGTTGTATTAATTCTACGATGCCCTTGTTTTATTTCGACCTTGCATATAGAATTCATCCGTTTTTGTATCTGTTATTCCGATGCTTCTCTCAGTTACCCTCTACTTAATGATTCGTTTTCTAGCTTTGTCCTCCTTGATCTGAATCTGTATCTCATTTTGTCTTAACTAGCTTTGTGGAGCGATGTAATTGTGTAACGTGATTGAAGACTTTGATTATTAGGTGTTTGCTTTCTTATTGTTTGATTTGATTAGACGAACATTATCTTCAACGACGGATTTCGTCATTTTCCCCCTTGAATGTAATGAGCAAACATAATATACAAATTCATACATGTTTAAATACTCGGACCATGAATTTAAGAAGAACAATGAACCAGAGGGGGGTGAGTTAAATACGGTTGATCGGGAAAGAAGACTGAAATAGAATGAGTTTGAAGTTTAATGGGCTTCAAATAATGGGCCTGAGAAGTTTAATAAGTTTTAACGGGCGCGAGTGTTCGGAGGGTGACTTAAGAATTGTGTTTAAAGTATTATGTTGTTTTAATTTACTTAAAAGAGTATATAGATTCTTATTTAAAAATAATTACTTAATACTAATTTTTTAAAAAACCCAAGTAATGTAAACTAAATATTTAATTGTTTAATTTTATATTTTGGGCATTGTAAGATGATAGTAATTGACTTGCCCATGTTCTTTTTTCTATTATTATAATTATTTTGTTTACTTGTCTCTCTAATCCTGTCAATTTTATTAAAAACAAAAAACAAAATGGGTGTGTTAAAATAAAATTTTGAAATCTTGTTTTATAAAAATTAATAATGGAAAATGGGTTACATAATAAATAATGTACTCAAATTAACTTTGAAAAACTAGTAGTATTACATTTAGTTCCAAATTATTCCATCAACCGAGACTCGTAAATCAACATTAATAATACATAAATATATATGGGTTTATGTAGATAATTTGGGAGACCAAAAATTAATCTGTGTAACGTAAAAAAATAAAATAAAATAAAAAACATATATAATTATAACATGTTCTGTGTATGGCCCATTTTGATATATTGTGCAATTCATTTTCCGGCATATGAACCCAAAATACCTGTCAGTTTTTGTAGTGGCACCAAATAAGAAGCTTCCTCCCTTAAACATGCATGATTTGATGGAGATTAGATTAGATTAGATTAGATTAGATTAAATTAAATTAAACCCACTTTCAATTTATCTCAACATCAATCTACAGCAAATTAATTCATGATCATCATGAATATAATTCATAGTTATGAATTACGTTTGAAAACTATAATTTAATGTCTCCTCCTTTGCCCTCAATTTAAATATTCTCAAATGAAATAATTGAATGTAGTTTTCGTTGAACTTCATTAGCAAATATAAATAAAACTTTAGTCTTCATCGAGTTAAATCTCAACAAAATCTATTATATTTTTAAAATTTTAATTTTTTTTTTATATAAAAAATGAAACATCAACTAAAAATTAATATTAGGACCAATGTACGTATATTCTCAAATATAAATTTATAGATGAATATGTTAACATCGCTCTAATAATTTTTATTGTCTCCCTTCTTTATCTATCATCGTCAATTTTCTCGTATATTTTTTTTTAAAATTATTACTTACCACCGATACCGTATCGACAAAATCTTACGCAAACATTTTTATTCTGATAAAAAATGTCTCAACAAAAATACTTTTTTTTAGACATTTATTACGTAGTTTTGGAAGCAAATTTTAATGTCTTTGGTATATGTATAGTTTCTCAATTTAGAGCATTTAGAATAATATTTGTTTTTAGTATATATTTTTACATCTTAATAATAATTAGATGATACATACACAGTTAACACCTAATAATATCATAATTTTTTTTAACACAAATTGATTTAAACTCCCACTCTCATAAAAATTAAGATCAAAGAGATATAAATTTATATATGAAATCGGACAAGTGTGGGTTTGACACGTACATGATTTTGAAATGTGATAAGATCTTTTAACATCCAAGGAGAAAACGACACGTGTTGGACGGTTTGATTGATGGGAAATCCTAGAGTGCAATCAACTATAAAAAGGCAAGAAACTGAGGGGCACATATGAAGAAATTGGTCAACCATTTTATTGTCGGGATGAAACCTACAACACCACCTTCCCTTTTTTTTTTTTTTACTATGTCCAGCGGAATCATTTCTTTGTATACACTAATTATCTAAGTTACAAAAAATTTAATTATTATTAAATATTTAATTTTGTCACCCATATTGTAACGAATAAGTTTGGAAGTTTGAATTTTAATGTATTATTTAAAAAGATTATAAGTGATAAGTATAATTTATCGTCAAAAAAATTCAAATTAAAAAATTTAACATCAATCCAAAGGTATGAATTTTAAATTCAAGTAGAGTGATAACAGTTTTAACAATTAGATTACCATAAAAGTAAAAATATATATATATATATATATATATAAATACATAAGTGGTGTCATGTCATGTCCATGTAGACCTAAATATGAGAGTGGGTTTGTGATTTAGATCCTTGCTCAATTAAGCAGGGTAATGGCGTTCGTTGGTTACCAAAGAGGGCAGTTTAGCATAGTTATATGAGTATATAAATATACTGTGTTGTTCTTTCTCAAATAGTGAAGTTAATCAGAGAGAGATGGGAAGAGGGAAAGTAGAACTGAAGAGAATAGAAAACCCTACAAGCAGGCAGGTTACTTTCTCCAAGAGAAGAAATGGAATTTTGAAGAAAGCCTTTGAACTCTCCATTCTCTGTGATGCTGAACTTGCCCTCCTCATCTTTTCTCCTTCTGGAAAAGCCTTCCAATTTGCCAGTCATGAGTTCTCTCTCTCTCTCTCTTTCTCTCTCTCTCTCTCTCTATATATATATATATATATATATATATCTCCTTCTCCTGCATTTTTATTGATTTGTTTCATTTATTGCAGCCTGGATAGGACCATTGCTAAGTACAGGAATCATATGGGTCTGTCTAATTCAGCTTACAATCAACGCACCACAACTACTGAGGTCTTCTTATTATTTTTCTTCTTTGAAAAAAAAAAAATCAAAAGAGGTCGTGGATGACCCGACCCGTTTCATTTATCTCACTTCAAGTTTCTGTAATTGTTATGGATTCCCAGTACTGGAGATGTGAAATTGAGGAGCTGAAGAGATCCATCATCAATCTGGAAGCTAGAACTAGGTACATGCACATACATATACACGTACGTGCGTATGTATACATGTACATATATATATATATATATATAATTTAATTACATTATTGTAAATTTCAATAAAAACAGGCATTTATGTGGAGAAGATATTACAACGCTGGGAGTGAAGGACCTGAAACATCTGGAACGACAATTGAAGATTGGAGTTGAACGTGTTCGCTCCAGAAAGGTTTTTTATTTAATTATATATCATTAATTAATATCTTATCATCGTTAATTACTATTTACAACCTTAATTAACCAACAGAGGCGAATTTTATCAGACAACGTCAACTTGCTCAAGAGAACCGTAAGAACTTTTTTTTATTTGTTATTTTCTTGCTTAATTACTTCCATTTACTTATTAATTACCAACATAAAATCAATTAATTATTGTTATTTAACTACTTTAATCATATTTCTTTAATGTCTCAGTATTGCGCCTTGAAAGAGGAGAACACTCATCTCCAAAAAAAAGTGAGTTAATTTTCATAATTATCTAATAATTAATCAATTTTATTTCCCTACTTTTAATTAAATTAAAATTCTGTGTATATATATATATATACATATATATATATATATAGAGAGAGAGAGAGAGACAGGACTCATATGAAAATATGTTCTGTGTGCTCTCATTTGAGGTTAAAAGTTGAACCAGCTACATGAGGCCAGGATAAGTCCACAATTTTTAGGACCAAATATTTGCACCACTTCAATATTTGAGCAAAGGTAAACTATATCATTTATTATTATCAACTCTTTTCTTAAGAATTTCATATATATATATACATATATACATATGTTTGAGTTCATAATTAATTATATTTTATTATTAATATACTTAATTTTTATTCTAATAATTCAAAAATTAACCAATAAAAACTAAAATGGTGATGAAATATAACAATTTGTTACTACAAAGTTAAATTTGATTCAAATTACAACTACGTAAAATAACACAATATACATATATAGTGTTGAAAATTAAACGAAAATAGCATTTATACTCAAACTTAATTCCATATCAAATTTATGTAATATATGTTTTTTTTTTTTTTACGTATCTTTTGATTAGTAAAACGTTATTCGATACTGATATGAAAATTGATATATTTTGTAGTTACAATGTTCGACAAAATGGATCAATTTATTGAAGGCGAGGACAACTACGAGTCAAACCTAAATTGGTTGTATCAATTTCTTATGCACCCAATTCATCAAATTATATATTTACTTTCACATTTAGATGGTTTTATTTTATTTTATTTTTTCAATTTCAGTGTGGTTTGAATAACTAGTCAAAAAAAAAAGAGGGGAAAGAAAAGAACAATTACCCTAAAAGAGGGATTGATGTTTTGAGCAAGTCACTCTGCCCAAGAATTATTATTATTTTTTTAACCATGTATATTATAAAATATGACTATAGTTATATAATTTATACTATTTTTCTATTTAATTTTTGATTAATTACAATTTACTTGCACACTTTAAGTTATTATGATCCTATTAAATAGTAAAATCCTAAAATTCTGCTTTAAATATTGCTCCTTTCTGTGAAGTTACTCATCACAATAGTTTGGTTTCTATATTTTATCATTTTAGTGTATTTAAGTCGGTTTTGATATTATGTTTATATTTAGATGTATCGTATACTTTTAAAATTGGTTAAGATAAATTTTTTAATTAACATAAATTTTAATTATTATCAGTCAATGTATCGCATCATTTTAGTTGCAAAATTGGTGCCAAAATGATTTTCGTGTGGATAGTGTGGTATAATGTAATACCCATAATTAGAAATTTGGTTTGGGATAATTATTTTTTTCATTCAATAAATATATAAATAATAAAAATTTTATTTTAAATTAAATTTTGCTAAATTTTTGAGAAAAAATAAAATAAGGACAAAGTTAAAAATAATTTTGAAAAAAAAGGTGAAATTTTGAATAAATTAGGTATTTTTGAAAAAAAACTTGAAAACATGGGATAAAATCACAAAAAGAAAATATTTAGTTACGTAGAACAGTCCAGTCAGTAGCCACAGCGAACCAGAGCACGTTGCGTGGCAATACACACTCACATCGGCACCACGCGAAAGGTCACACAAGCGATTCGTGTGTCTGGCAATCCGACAGTTCAGATCGCGCACGCATGGACAACTAAGATACGTTTTTCATTCAAGCGCGATCGAACGGTCGGATTCAATACAATCTTGCGGCCCATATTCATTCCTCGAATAGGAGAGATCCAAACGAAGGGAGAGGGCCATGTGTCCCTGCACGGACAGCCCATATTGACAAGGGGAGGGTATTTAGCATCGTGTTTCAAGGACAAACCCTAGCTGCACTAGCACCCACCGGAGAAGAAGAAGAAGGCCGACCAGAAAAGAAACTGACTGTCGTCACCACCGCCAGGGCCACCACCGACACCAAAACATGTATTTTTTTTTCCACTTTCATGCTTGAAATTCAATCCCCAGCCTCCCTGTGGCCATATCGGACCTAAAGGATCAACGTGTGAGTCAAAAACTAAAGATAACTCGGCCAAAACTTGAAATCCTCTCCAATGACCCCCTTCCCATTTTTTATTTTACGCGATTCTTTGACCATCGTGTTCACTGTCTTTTTTTTGTGCATATTAGTCGAAGAGGAACCCTAGCCATGAAGGAGGACCGATAGAGTCGCCGAAACGGTAGACCCTCTGTTGGTAGATTTCGATTTTTCGACTTTTCTAGCCAACCAAGGTTCGCTAACGTATTTTTTTGCAGGAATACGTATAAAACCAGCCAAAAATAGCCTAAATCAGCCGAAACCGGCCAAGTCAAGGCAAACCACCACTGTGGGCGATAGAGCCGATGTCGGAGCATGGTGGCGCCATCGTGCCGAAACCCTGAAATTTGCCAGAAATATTTTTTAATATCGATTTTGACATTTTAGGGTATTTTTGAGTACGTTACGAGTATTTTAATTTTTGCAGAAAAAATTCAGGAAACCCAAAGATTGTCAAGATGCAGTAGATAACACGTATTTCGAAATTGGATCCGGGTAAGAACTCCTTACCCTATTCCCTGTTATCTGTAAATTGAAGTTTAAATAATCAATATTCTTATATTTTATAAAAATTAAAAAAATCCTAAAAATAATTACAAGTCACTAGTGGAGTCAAAACCAGTTAGTTCACAGTTGCCATGATTCACTGTTTATTTTTCCATACTGCTTAAAGTACTTACTGTTATATTATGCGTATTAAATTGATGATTTGGATCGTTTCCTCAATTTCATTGCACATTTTCTTTTTTTTGGTTGTCTTGCAATAAATGTCTCAATTATATTCTTAATGTATATATCACCTATCTTCATGATTTATCATTAATTTAGAAACATAAGATATTGACACGTAACTGGTAATCAGTTTATAGTGTGATCTCGTGTAAGAAAGACTTACTGAATACCCTGAAAAAAGATGGACGGACTTGGTACGTAGGGAACCCTATTGTGGACGTTACCTCAGTCGGACGGGGCTAAGAAGTCTCATATTGAAAGGGTTTGGGAGATATGATTCACCCTTATACTGGACGGGATATCGAAGCAATGGTATCTTTAGTGCCAATTACCGGACAGAATATGGGAACAGTCGGATTAATTAACAAATCTAGATATTGGGTTCATGGGTAGGGGAATATCTCTATGGACCATCACTAGTTCCAGTAAGCAGGTAAAAAGGAGAATTGCTGATCTCGTTTACTTGTACACAATGTTATAATGTTATATGAGTAATTGCCTTATTATGTTGATTTTGGTAAACTCGTAATGGTAAGTATGGAATAAACGTTTTAATATTAAATGAATTTACTTAAAATAAGGGCTCCATTTGTTAGTTTGTGATTTTTACAAACATTCAATTCTCTATATTAGTGATTAGTGTGATATTATTACTGGGCTACTATATCTCACCATTCTATTAACCATTTTAAATCAAAAAAACCAAGATCAAGATCCCGATCAGTAAGAGGGTTATGGGTAGTTTACCTCTTTGAACCCCATTAAGT